ATATCAACAACGTCGGGTTAGCACTATTGTAGGTTTTTGAGTTAGGAAAGTAAGATATCGTATACAAAGATTATATATTATATATTAAATAATATAATTTTTTTTTTTTTTTGGCCATTAAGTACAATTTATAATGAACATCCTGTCAAATCGTTTAACAATTTTATCTACAGAATTCCGACCAAATAAAAATAACTTAAAAAAACTCGCAAATATAAAATTCCTAAAAATATCTCAAAATTGACTCATTTATTCTGAAAATTTTACCACATCACAGAAAAAACAAATAATATTTTTCGGTCAAAATTTCAAATCTCACAATGAGTACCAAGTAACAAGTATCACAATTATCATTATTGAGTTATAACATAACAAAACACTTATAATATCCGTATAATATCAGAACTTCAAAAAGCTATACTTTCAAAACCAAGTCAGTCCGCTCAATACTGACTTTACCATCGTTCTTAAATCGGCAAATTACATATATTCATCACAAAAAATAAAAAATATTGAAAAATTACATTTGTTTCACGTCATTTTTTTCAAACAATTTTTGTCAAAATTATATATTAAAATTCCTTTATAAAAAAAAAATACTACATTCAATTCAATTTTTTTTTTTACATTAAGTGTGACTTTTAATGATAACCTATTAAATTTGTAAGCGTTTCTATTTAGTCTAATAATTGTACCACAGAGTACCTACTGAATAAAACCTACATAAAAAAACTCGCAGGTATAAAATGTTTAAAAATGACTCAAATGTTTTGGAAAATTTGACCACGTCTAGAAAAGGGAAATATTATTTTTCAGTCTTTATTTCAAGTCACAACGAATATTTTAAACTGAATTACAAAATAACAAAACTGAAAATTATAAAAAGCATTATTTTCGTAAATTTCCCATTTTTCTTACGTTTTATCCTGGTTTTTCCCAGATATTATGAAAACCGTTTGGAAAAAAAAAATAACCTCCTCTAAGTACCATCAAGACCAGTGGTTCTCAACCTTTTTTGTGAAAAGACACCCTAATTTTGATCCATAAAAATGACGACGCACTTAAAACAATAAATAAAATTAAAATGATATATTAAAATTTGACACACACAACACTCACAAGTCATAACAAGGTGATTACGACTGAGGAAATGCTTATTTACATATACGGAATGCAAAATTTCCTAGTTTTTCTTAATTTTGGGTTTAGCCATAACATAATAATAATGTCATATATTTCTGTTTTGAAAACGTACAGTATAAACTGAAAAGTATAAACAACCATAAATAAACAGTTTTTTTGGCGACATACATCACAGTATTACGCGACATGCTAATGTGTCGTGAGACACCAGTTGAAATCCACTGATCTAGATTCTAGATAATATTTACTTTCAGAAATGGTATAACACATACATATCAGAGCAAGATTTCTGGTAAAATTTTTGGACACAGTATTAAAAAAAAGGTAAGATAATAGGGACGGGTAAAACCACTGGTGTAGGTGGGAAGTCGGGAAGGTTGGATGTAGACAAAAATTGAACGTTTATCTATAAGCAACAATAAACCATTGCTTACGAAAAAACGGAATTCAGTTGATAGTTATGCTTTGTCAACAATATATGTCATTTTGTAATGAAACAATTAAATAGGCTTTGTATATTTTCTTTAATAAAATTTGTTTAATGTTGTATCGATTTTTTCTGTATTTCTACGTTTTTTCCGCTTTCCCCATGTTTTATCCCGGTTTTTCACATTTTTTGGAAAAATCAAAAAATGACCTCTGTAAAGTACCTCTCTAGTGAAATTTCCTTTGAGAAACATTGTTGTCATTAAAAGTTGGAGCAAAATTGCTGGTAGAAAAGTTTACACAACAAATCGAGGGATTTTTTGCGATTTAAATAGTCTGAGCGAGCGATGGATTGGGTCTCTTGGTACACCCAAAATGCATTTGTTTTTCCTTGTAAGAGTAAAAGGGAAAATAATGCAAACATTTTTTTACGAAAACTGGTTTGAACTCGGAACCACTAGGATACATATATTCAAAAAAAAAAAATTGATAAATTAGATTTATTCGACATAATTTTTTACTCAAACGATATTCGTCAAAATTTTATATTAAAATTCCCTTATAAAAAAAATACTACATTAAACTCAATTTATTTTTTTTACTACAAAATTAGACTCCTAATAAACCTCCTGTTAAATTGTCAAGCATTTCTATTCTAGTTAAACAATTTTACTTCAGAGTACCTACTAAATAAAAATTACATACAAAACTCACAAAATTAAAATGTCTAAAAATGACTCAAATGTTTTGAAAAATTTGACTACATCTACAAAATGCAAATATAAGTTTTCTGTCCAAATTTCAAGTCTCTATGAATATTTTTAACTGAATCATAACGAATAAAAAAATTGAAAAATAATAAAAGTATTATTTTCGTACATTTCCCGTTTTTCTTATGTTTTATTCTGGTTTTTCCTAGATATTATGAAAACCGCTTGGAAAATAAAAAAATGATCTCCTAAAAGTACCACCTCAACAACATTCCCTTTCAGAAATAGTGCCGTGCGTATATATCTGAGCAAGATTTCTGGTTGAATTTTTGTACACAGTATAAAAAAAAAAAAAAAAAAAAAAAAATAAACATCTTAGTAAAACCAATACATTCTTCGCTACACTCAGAATCTAACTAAAAAAAAGACAAAATATTTAAAAAATTACAATAAAGGACTAAAAATAGAAAAAAATACAAATATACTCTGAACCTATAAAGTATAAAAAACGAATTTTCAAACATTGTTTGAAAAAACCGTAAAAGTCATTAATATCTTATCTTTATAACCTTTATGATTAGTGAAACCAGCAGTTGCAACGGATTTGATTCATATACCTACGTATATTTTAATACCTATACATTTAATAATTGTCTGAGAAAGAAAGAAAACAGAACGAATTCTTGACGACGTGATGCATCGCGATTTTTACCGCCTATCCCATAGGCATAGGCCTATGTTTATGTACATTACATCTCCTTCTGATCAGAAAGCGACACGATGCTATCAGTCTATTCTATCATATTTGCGTACCTAGATAGATATTATAGACGATAAAAAATTTTTTTTTATGTATATATGTAAATTTAGATTCTGAGTAAAGCGAAGAAGATTATGGTTTTACGAAGATTTTTATTTTTTTTTTTCTGTGGACAACTTTTTTACCAGAGATATTGCTTCAGTTTTAAAGTGTAGCACTTTTTCTGAAAGGAAATCGATGTGAAGAAGTACTATAAAAAGTTAATTTTTTGATTTTCTCAGAAGTTTTCTCATCAGATGTAAAAAACCGGAAAAAAACGTAGGAAACAGGAAAATGTACGAAATATAATATTACGATTTTTTTTCCTGTGAACAACTTTTCTACCACCAATTTTGCTCCGATTTACAATAATAGCAATTTTTCGAAAGGAAATCTAACAGGGAAGATACTTTAAAGAGGCTATTTTTTCGATTTTCCCAAGAGTTTTCCTAGCAAATGTGAAAAACCAGTTAAAAAACATAGGAAAACCGTGAAAAACGTAAGAAAAACGGGAAAATCGGTATACATTAAACAAACATTTCATTAATGAAAATAGGTAACGGCTATTTAAGTATTTTACCATAGTATGACACATATTATTTACAAAGCATCACTATCAACTGAACTCCGCTCAGTTCGTGTACGGCGAGAAGTCTGGCGTGTTAGTCATTCGCACAGGTCCGATAACAAAACAATTTAGTAAAGCAGGCGCATCCAAAGTGTTATAATAACAGCCGAAAATCAGTTTCCTATCGGTAAAACGCACATTGTATGCATTACGCACGTCTATTCCCGTCGATTATGATCAGTAATAATCACGGAAATATGGTGAACACTTTTTGGATCAATGCAAATGTCCGTTCATCGTAGGTTGCTATTTTAAATAGAGGTTAAAATTTTCGTTTTATAGACAGGTTTTCACAGTAGGACTACAACAATTCCTGTAAGTCAAAAATAAATATTGTCAGAACGTTTTATTTTTTTTAAATTTTTTGGTGTTACAATTTCACGTATCTGCAATAGAAGATTTAATAACTGTACTAAAGTGTACAAAACACAAACATGTATTTAAAAGGATACATTTGACTCATGAAAAAATTCATAAAAAAATTATATTGTTTATCAGTTTCTGTTTTTGCAATGAAGACGGAAATATTTATGTAATTTCAAAAATATGTGCGATAATGCGATTGAGCTGAAAATTCTGAAATTACCGAGGTTAGGTTAGGCTCTCATATTGCATAGATAAACTCAAAATCTTAAGAATTTATAGCTACTGTTGAAATGTTTATTCGTTTTTTCCAAGATTTATTGTAGAAATTTAAGGGAAAATAAACACGAACGAAGTTCCGTACAAACGTACCGACAAACTAATAAAACAGTATCTATACAGACTCAAATAATAGATGGAAATAATAGAAATGGTTATTTAATTATAAGTCTGATTTGACGACAAACGATAAGTTTTATCGATACGATTTAGAAATGTACTGTTTCTGAAAATGAAATTTTCATTATTGTTTCATTCTACAGTTCTCTATGTATTTATGTATTCTTATCTTATAATCTTTCTTTATGTTGAGGATTACATGTTGTCAGCGTACAATATAATGAAAAATATTGTGTAGGCATTCAAAACATATTTGTATACCTACTTGTATTAAAATGTAATATTAAAATGTTTTTCTATAAATCATTGATATTATCAATATTCCGATAAAAAAATGCATTATTATTATTATTAATCTGCTAAAAATCAAATGTACGTACCTATAATATATTTCACATCTATATAGGTTATTATATACGCATTTCCCGAGTGGGTGGCAGCGTAAGGCAATCATTACTATTATCATTATATCTAATCTCTATTAATTAATTATTATATTATATTATGAAAAATTACTTCAGTAATAAGAGCACAATTACGCTAGTTAACAATAATACGATTAGGTGCCTTCCGTGTGAACTATATAAACCCAGCTAATAATCTGATAAATGATAGTCACGGAATATTAGGCTTCAACGCCAGTCGACACCGTAAAACTGCACAGATAACATAAAAGGCTGCAGTGAGTTGCATTTATTATTTTGTTCATTTTCATTACATACGTCACCGCAGTTGAATTTTTCATACGTTTATAGTAACCCAAATTTTTTTTTAGTACTTCATACAAACGATTTTTTTTCAAAAAATGACCGAAGACGCATTTATCTTTTCACCGACAAAAAAACACATGGGCACCGTAAGTACACTGCATGCACAATAAAAACTTCTCCCGAGAAATATTATAATAATATACTTTACTTATAGTTAATTCTGATTTTCATTTTCTTCCGATTTGTTCCAGGTTATATTTTTACACGGACTCGGTGAAGATGGGTACGTAGAATAAAAAATTATTTTCTATTAAATGTATAGTTACCAAAAAGTAAATAGATATTATAGTTAAAACTCGAAATACATTAAAATTACAGTTAAAACTGGTTTCCACAAACCCCTCACGTCAAATTTGATTCTTGAATATTATTAAAAATTGAAATTATCTAATAAAAAAATATTTTTATATGTAATTTTTTTTTTTGCCAATAGTTTGAACTAGATAAAAGTAAAAATACAAACACATTAGGATAAATATAGGCGTTTTTTATTGTTTGTAACAGGATAATCGAACATTGTTATTTATTTTGGCAGTGCAAATAGAATTAGGTACACCATGATCTGACTTATTTTTACACAGGCAATGAATTGCCAGGTGACCCTGATAATTAAATATAAATTTGAATTGTGTATTGGCATTACACATATCGCGTCATTGACTTCCTTCAAAGGGGGATCGTACGCCTTTTTTTTTTTAATAACATTAAAATGATTCTTTTTTTCACCAATTCCTTAAGCATCTTAAAACTCATTATCGGGTACTTATTTTTCTCTTAACAATACTCATAGTTAATCTTAAATAACGACTATGAGAAACTTAACGGGTACACAACCACGAACTGAATTTATACGAAGCTATCTGAAGAATTTAAAACGAATACTCACAGTTATTTTATTATTATTATTATTTGGTACAGACAATAGCTAGTCGGTCGAATTTATTGATCATCTGTGATTGTTGCGCGTTTTAGGTAGTATGAGTTCAAATATATAGATATTACCTAATTTCTACTTACTCATTTAAATTTGCAGTTAATTTTAGTTTTAACTAATATAAAATAACAGTAGAAAGGGTTTTAAGGAAGCTATTTATGATTTAAGTTAATTGTTGGATTTCTTTATTTTTTTTTTTCATAATTTTGTCTTATTTAATTTTTGTCCCTTTATTTTTTGGTCTAAAATACACGTATACTCTAATAATATATGTTGTACTGAAAATTTAAATATCTTATTCATGGTTTTCATTTAATTATAATATGACTTAAGCCATTTAGCAATTTTTTCATACAGCAATTATTATTGCATTATTATACCATTGGACAATTTTCAAAATTTAGAATTTGACTGCATTGAAAACTACCCAATATTGACTCTTAAGCCCTTTTTCCCTGAGAACAAAAATATACATTATACCTAATATCTTTTTTTTTTTATATATATATATATATATAATTTTAAATTTTATTTACTACATCCTATTTGTTTTATTTTTGAAAACTCGTTTTACTTATTATAGTAGTTGTATATTGAAAAATGTTCATTATTAATATATTTTGATATTGTTTTAAGAGGTTAAATTATTATGGCGTAGTGTGATACAAACCGGTAAATAATATACTGTAGGAAAATGGTTACCGCCGGAGTGACGGTTTAAATAAATTTCAATAATTATAATAATGAATTACAACCCGCAAATAAGAATACAGCATTTTATTTAAAACTATACAAAAAAAAAAATAAAAATAAAAACGTCCTGTGTAAGTATATTAGGTATATATTATCATTACGATTATTATAAGAGTGTAGATTAATCCTGCTCGTGTGTGGATTATAAATTTAAAAATATATACTTAGTTTTGTATAAAATATAAGTATTTATCATATTTTATAATGAGATCGAGATCTAAGATTTTTTTTTTCTTGTTTTTTACTTCATCAGTTTTTAATTTATATTTAAATGTATTTATTTATAATTTGCGTACGGTAACGCGACGATTTATTTGACGAATCCATAAAACAAAACACAAACCAAATAATATTATTATTCGATTTCAATAATAACCATTTTGATTTGTGCTATAATATATATTTAATGGCTCAATTTGCGAGAGTGTTGGCATTGTAATTCACATCCAACCCAAGATTTAGGGGCCCCTGAGATATCATATTACGCTGTACCACACATGGTATTTAGGCATGTTATTCTTACAGTCAATACCTACTTAATTTTACCAAGGGCACGCAGATTATATAATTTGTTTTAACTAAGTTTTAATTTATACCAATATATTTTTTTGCATCTATTTTATTTATATAGTTATATAAATCAACTATCTTTTTTTTTTTTTATTTTAACTCAAATTTCATTACAGTTTGAACAGTATTTTTAAAAAACATGTTGGTTCCCTTAGTATAAAAAAAAACCTGAACGTATACACTGTATTAACGAAATCATCTAAACTACTGTAATATGATGGAAGTTAAATTATTAAACAAATTTATAATAATTACTAATAGCTAGTTATTTGATTTCAATGATAATTTTCGGTAAAATTGAATTATAAATTACTTACAAAAATACATAGATTAAAAATGTATCTCATTATGTTTAACTTATAGGTACATGTTGTCACGTTGTACGATATGACAAACATTTTCAAATTCAATATCTCTCTCTTTCGAAAAATCCTACACACGCCATTGGATCTCTAATAGTACTTACACGTATATACTATACTAAATATATATGAATATTATGGGTAGTGGGTACATATAATATTCTAAATTTTAAATTCCATATCCGACCAAAGACAAGTTTTAAAGTATGATTTTTAACAAACACTATATGCATACCAAAATAATATATTAATTATTTAAGTTTTTTTTTTAAACTGACACAGTTGTCTTAATATTTAAAAAGGATTTTAATCCAATTTTATTCTATCTCTAGCAAAGTTAAACAATTTTTACGATATATTCGATGGCAGTCAAATAATTTTATTATGGGGGGAAGGGGAATTGAACTAATTTTTTAAACATTTAACAAATAGTATAATTTGCATTATTTTTGTTTTAATAAATACTAAATAGGTATTACGTATAAATCTTGAAGGGGAAAAAATCGTATAAGTGATAGATCACACGAATCCACCCTTTTCGCCTTTTGATCACACGTGAATCTACTATGCTATTATATGATTCGGTTCTTGTTACTTGTTATTTGTATATTCTATTATTATAATAATAATATGAAAAAGTTGTACAATATTTTATAGATAACATATGAATCAGTTTTATTAAAGTACGCATATTTATTTCTACGTTTTCCGTCTTATATTTTATATGCATAAAAATATACTCGATTGCATTCAGCATTGTAATAATATCATTAAAAATATTTGATAAACACATAAATAATAATTTTACTAATAATTATACTAATGTGATACATATTATAAACTATTAAAAATCATTTTAGATATTTTTTTTTAATTCTGAACGATGTATGGTGCATGTTTTAATTTTATTATAATTTGTTTTTTTTGTGCCCGCAAACAAATTTTCTACCAAAAATCGTGCTACAATCAAAAAATTTAAAGGAACATTTTATATCATTTTTGATCTAGTTGGAATATTAAAGTAATTTTTTTTAATTTCCTTGTAGTTTTCTTAATAAATGGGATTAACTGGCAATTATTTTTATAATATTGGTTGATTTCTATTATTTCGATTACCAAAGTAAAATTAAAACTAATAATACTAATAATATTCGATCTCAGAATCGTCTTTTGTTAGCAGTGGTTGATCGTTACGTACAGATATAATATATTAAATACCTCTCTTTGGTTAAACATGCTTTGATATACCGTAATTTTTATGATTTTTATTAAAAATTAAATACAAACTTCTATAATACCTATTACGCTTAATTTTTTTTTTTAGCAGTGTGTAAAACTTATTAATTATAATTAACCTCATGTTAAATTTTTAAGCATTTCTGAAATAGTTTTAAATAGTCCTATCAATATAATATAAAATCAAACAAAAATTTTAAAACCTCGGAGATTTCAAACCGTTATAAATAGTTTGAAATCGAATGGATATTTTAAAAATGTTACCAAGTCTAGAAAGAAGTAATACGTAATTATTTCGTGAAAATATAATGTTTCTACGATTTTCAACTGAATAACGACAAAAAAAAAAAAAAAACAAAAACAAAATCAAAAATAACAGAAACCGTTATTATTGCATAAAATTCCCGGTTTTTTCCAATTATTAAGAAAACAACCAGGAAAATCAAACAATGACCTTCTGAATGTACCAATTTTAAATATTTGCTACCATAATTAACACTTAAAGTTGGTGAATATAATATGATTTCTTGTAGAAAAAATTGATAACATCAATATATATTTTTTTAATATAATAATTTTATTATATAGTTAATCGCATTGGATTTTCGTTAGAACTTATAATATTGTTATAACGGCATACTGTTATATAATTTACCAGGACTTTGAATTCTACGTAATTAAAAGCATAGGTTCAACAGTTGCATTTTCCATCACACAGCTCGTTTGTGTTATAGGTGTTATTATTACTACTGCATCACGCAACGATATGGTGTCTATATTCATTTTTTACATAATATATAATAATTTTTTAGTTTCTGAGTGGAGCGAAGAAGCTTATGGTTTTACAAAGATGTTTGTTTTATTTTTTCTGTCGACAAATTTTCTACCATAGATCTTGGCCCGATTTGTATATGTAGCACCTTTTTAAAAGTAAATCGGTATAGGGAGATACTTAAAGGAGGTGATTTTTCGATTTTCTTAAGAGTTTTCTCATCAAATGTGAAAAGCCGAAAAAAAAACGGAGGAAATACGAAATCAATTTTAATTTTGGAATTGGAATAATTGGAACTTTGCCATAATATGACATATTATATATATACTGTTGACAAAGCGGCACTATCGATTGAACTCCGCTCAGAATCGTTTTTTCGTTAGCGATAATTTATCGTTGCTTACAGGTGTATATTAAATTACTTATGACAGCGGCTGCACCCGACCCCATTATTCTAGGACTCCTTTTAATTTAATTTTTTATTTTTATTACAGGGCCAACTGGAAAGAAACCCTGGGAAAAATGGTCAAACCTTACGTCAAAGTCATCTGTCTAAACGCGTAAGTACCTACGCATGTAGAAAAACAATTGCAACATGCTTTTCTTTCGCTGAGACCGCGCGTAAACACCGAATATAATATACGAATAAAACGAATTTTAAATTAGTTTTTATAACTGATATAATTCAGTATTGTTGAAAAAAACGGATTACCATATACCGCTACCGTTTGGTTCGTCACAGACCCTTAAATTGTTAAAATTCGCGTTTTCGCAGTGTTATCAATCTTAAACAATCGATTAAACCAATTGCATATTTAAATATTTTTATTAATATAATATTTTAACACGTGAATTTATTTTTAATATTTTTTATATTATAAATATATACCTAGTTTAAAAATTTCGGTTGGGAGGGGTTAACCCTCCCCCTTTATACGGGTTCGCGTCATATTGTATATTAAACAATTATTATCAAACTATTTGTTTTTTTCCAAAATACGATTCGAAAATGATATACATACTTTTAAGTTTTATTTCTATGCACCATTTCAACAAGAATATATTTAAATGAATAAAAAAATCAAAATACGTGAAAAAATGGCGGAAAATTTCAATTTGTATAGGTTTTTTCCCGTATGTTTACTGCGCGCTGAGTGACGGATTTTACAGGTGGGTCTAGAGGTTCTGGACCCCCCTCCGACACTGATATAATTTCAATAAATTTCGTCCTAAAAAGAGGCATCTATCAATAGAGATACCTTTTAAATACATATGACTTTTCAGGATCCATCTCAGTAATATGTTGAAGCTACAGCGCGCGCACATCAGTTTTTAAAATCACCGACGGACATATTCATTTTGAGTTTGAATATATGTCCGTTACGCACCTACGCGCACTTAATTACTCGCTAACTTACTTGTGGGTCATTACTTATTGGTTACCGATTTTAATGGTTTCGATTTTTATCGCGCGAAGAGAACAAATCGAATGTATTATGTAACAGAAATATACACGCGGGTATAAAAATAAAATACAACGTGTGATAACTGGTTTGCTGGACCCCGATTTAATATTAATCACGTCCGTTCGTAATACGAATAAAATTGTCATCGCTAATGTTAATAAGATATACATATTTTTTACATTTTACGAGAGGAGCGCATACAAGTTTCTCACGGAGAGTATTATAATTCAACAATCCGTCGTCGTCGGCGCCATTCTCGGATTATGATAATTTAACGAATAATTCGGGCCCGTGATGGTCGCACGACAGTCTGAAGTATTTCAATGTCGCGTTTCGACAGACAGTCAGACAGAGTGTCCCACCGCTAACAATCCGCAAGAACCGGACAAACGTATAATACACATAATGAGTAAACCGATACAAACCGGAGTATAAGAAATAGTGTAAGCTCCCAATGAGTAAAACAATTAGTGTGTAGAAGTATATATGAGTACTGTTATGTGTTATGGTCTGAATTGAACAGCTGAGTGGAAAAAGGATAATATTCCAAAAATACGAAAAATAAATCGATATAGCCATTAAGGGCTTTTCTATAAAAAAAAAAAACAACTATTGATTATTACCTGTTTGTTTATGTACCTACTAGTTAATGGATGTTTTTTTATTCAAATAATAAATTTCCCAAAAGACGCAAGAGGGGCTTCACTACGAATTTTGTATTTTGTCGTCCTTTTTTCTTGGTTTCATTTCTGCTACACAGGGAAAATCAACGCTATACGAAAACGTTCCTATTTTGTGGTTATAACGACTTATAATGAGGTGCATTTTTTACATTATTGCATATTTAATTTGGCTATATAACGGGCAATTGGTTCGATTTGCATGCTACTTTTCATTTAGTATGTCGCAGGAAAAAATTTCATTCGGTTTATTATGTTTTTTTTTATTTTTACCGTGTAACCAAAGGAAACCAGAAATTAACCAGCAAAGTATATACAAAAAAATTCCGTAATTTAAGTGCTAGTACAAACAAACAAACATTTCCACGTGGACAAAGTACTGAATTTAATAGTAGTTTAGTAGTGAATAATCGGTCAAATAATCAAAATATTATACCGCGATAAGAGAGAAATAATAACGAGAAAATATGTTAGCCATTACCATGGTTGACGTTTTGGACGTTTTGTTTACGCCGTAAAATATTACCATGTTTGACGACGAATCCAATACGATTGTATAATATAATTGTATAATATATTATAAACATACATAAACATTTCGTTGTCACAAATAAAAACCAACAAAATACACACCAGCAGAGCTCCGTTACTAGAGTTAAATTTTACCTCACCTTTTTTGTATTGAAGAAATATTCTTTATAAAATAATTAATAACCCATTGCTATAACTGTATAATACTGTAGACTAATCTAAAACTATACTAATTCAAAAAAAAAAAAAAAAGAGCCGATACTGGGGTTGGGTGCGGCAACTGCTGTAGACGGATAGTGAGGAAGGTGGGATACATAAAATTGTTTAATTTTTACCTGTAACCAACAATAAACCATTGATAACGAAAAACGATTCAGAGCGAAATTCGGTTATACGTGTTTTTAAAGGTCATAATATTTATGATTTTCGTCGAAATTTGATTTTAAAACATTAAACATAAATTTTTTTTCGACCACTAACTACGACTTATAATGTTCCTTTCATATTTTCAAGTATTTCTGTTAAGTTTAACAATTTTTCTACAGAGTTCCTACCAAATAAAAATTATGTAAAAAACACGAAAAATTTAAATGTCTATAAATAGCTCAAAAATTGCTCGAATATTTTGAAAATTTTAGGACGTCTAGAAAATTAAAAAAAAAAAAATATGAAAATATGAATTTTCTGTCAAAATTTCAAGTCTACGAATATAATAAATTGAATTATATTAAAAAAACAAAAAAAATTTCTGAATTAACTAAATTAAATGAACTAACTAAATTTTCTAGTTCCACTTCATCTAAATATTTTCAAATTTATCTTTATACAACACTGCCTGAATCTACTATCCGTTATCTATTTACTAAAATTTGCGTGTAAACTATTATTCTATTTTACTAGCAATCCAACTATACTAGTTTTTGGTACCCGTTAGCCTATACTTAAGTTATTATAGTTGCTAGTTAAAAAGTATTATATGAACGGTCCATTGGTAAAAATTATTTTAACTTTTTAGTTTTTAATAATCTTTATAATTTTTTAAAATATAACAATATTGAATATTCTCTCTGCCTGTAACTAATTTATTTGAAAATTTCGTTTAGATTTCCAGCAGTATTTCTACATTTTTTTTTTTTTTTTAATAAAAACTGGTAACAAAATTAATAGCTCCCAGAGATCTGAAATTTTAAACATATGTGTCAAGAATCACGACAAAATCTCAGAGCATTAGACATGAAAAAATTGATGAATAAATTTGTAGGGTGGTCTATATTGAGCAGGGGCTTGTTTTTTATTAGCATAGAATTTTTTAGGTAAATCCGACCCTGTATGAGTTTCTTTACATAGTAAAAGTGCGGAAAACCCGAATTAAACATCAGTTCACCAGCACGTTATATTATACAATCTCCACACACATAATACATTTTTCCTTGCAACGATTTATCATTTCATTCTGTATACTATGCAAGAACGGAATAATAATAAAATTAAAACGGTGATTATAACGAGTGTACGTCACAGTATAATCCTATGCAGGTATTGAAAACTAAAAAGTCGGCGTATAAAATATTAATTTATTTGATCAGTAACTATCTACCTAACCTGTATTTATCTCAATGAATAATGTGGACAGGAAAAAGATACCGCTGACGTTGAACAAGGGTTTCCGGACGGCCGCCTGGTTCGACTTGACGTCATTAGACGAAAACAAAATAGAGGACGAAGAGACCATCGTGAGGGCCGTGGAAACCCTGCACGACATCATCGACAACGAAATATCCACAACAAAAGTTTCGGCCACCAAGATCATGTTGGCAGGTTTCTCACAGGGTGGCGCGTTAGCCATGTACGCGGCGCTCACCTACCACAAGCGCTTGGCCGGCGTCCTGGTCATGTCATGTTGGCCATTACTCCGGCACACCATGCCCGAGGTATGTCCTGAAAATCGAAATTATTATTCCAATAAACTACGCAGTGGTGTAACTATAGAGTATTTTTTTTTTTATTGTAATATGATACGAGTACGTAATATCCGCATATTCTGTCTCAGTTCAAATATCGAGAAACATCGAGCTAACAGTGGCCGACCCATCGTGCAAAGTGTGTCTGTCATTTGTGTTGTTTTTACTTTTTCAAATAGAAACATCGCCATTTGCCGGTGATAATTGTTACCAGTCATTCTGTTTGAACTTTATGGCTAGTTTAGTAGACTAGCAGATAAATCATTGCTAGATTAATGAGCTCGTTATTTTACAATTTTGAACGAAAACAAATTATTTTCCGTATAAATAAAAAAATGTTCATCTGTATGTGAATAGTTTCAAAATGTATTATTTTTGTTTTTGCATTAACTAAAACCACACAAAAAATATGATTAATGTGATTAGGTATAGGAATAGTGAATAGTTATGTCAATAAAATAGTTGAAAAAAAAAAAATGTATATATATATACATATATGGCACGTTTGTTCAATAACGCAGGTTTACAGGTTTGCAGGTTTGCAGGTTCGCAGGTTCGCATTTTAAACTTTATTTTCCTGTTTAACTTGAAATATTGTTCATTTTACAAAATACATTAGTAATATAATGTAATGTTCGACACTATAATACAAGACATCTATAGTCGTAAAATCGCGGCACCACTGCGCAATAATCATCTTAATAATACAATACAACGAATTGTTAAATGCATATTCTATTCGTTTTCAAGGCGGCCGTCAGCAACACCAAAACGCCAATGTTACAGTGTCACGGGACCAACGACCCAGTCATCTACTATAAATGGGGTCAGCTGTTGGCCGAAACCCTAAAGTCCATGAACGACAAGTTCGAGTTCAAAACTTACGAAGGTCTAATGCACACGGTCAACGATCAGGTACGCGTATCTGTCGAGTTTATGGTTTTAGAATATTTGTAATAATATTATTGTAACACGACGAAAAATAGTATCATATTAGTGATAAGGGCTGCGTCTAACTAAAATTTTATTAATTTTTATAATTGGCAGTACGCAGCACTCAATAATATATAGAACTGATACTGAGAACGGGTGTGGCCACCATTGTTGTAGATTGGTAGTTGAGAAAGTAGGATACATAAAATTATTTAATTTGTACCTGTAACCAGCGATAAACCGTGGCAAATGAAAAACAATTCGGAAACAATGTTCGGTTTTACATGTTTTAAAAAGCCGTAATACTTACAGTTTTCGTTAAAATTTTATTTTAAAACTTGTAAAAAAAACATACTACATAACACTCAATTTATTTATTTATTTTCATCACTAAGTACAACTTATAACGTACCTCCTGTCAAATTTTCAAGCATTTCTGTTTAGTCTAACGGTTTTATCCACAGTGAACCTACCGAATAAAACTGACATAAAAAGCTCTTGAAATTAAAATATGTATAAATAGCTCAAAAATGACTCATATATTTGAAAATTTTAGTACATCTAGAAAAAATAAATATGAGTTTCTGCAAAAATTTCAATTCTCTACGAATATTTTCAATTAAATTATATTAAGAAAACAAAAATAACAATAATAACAGAATTATATTCGTACATTTTCTCGTTTTTTCTACGTTTTTGACGTATTTTTCTAACTATTAAAAAGGCTACAAAAAAAATCAAAAAGGAACTTCACTATAACTTCTTACTCACCAACTAGATTAAAAATACAAAAAAATAAATATATTTTAAGTTGTAAAAATTTAAAACCAATTAAAACGGTAACGCCGTGATAATGGCGTGCTGTAAATATTTGCCATTTTACCTATAATTTTTTTTTCAATTATTCGAAAAATCCCTTAGACAAGCAAAAAATGACTTCCTCAATTCACCAACTAGGGAAAATTACCTTTCAGAAAAGGAGTTATACTTGATACTTCGGAACAAGATTTTTGGTAGTTAAGTTTTTACAGATAGAAAAAAAAAACACATATAGATGTCACGCTACACGCTGAATCTAAAACCGATGAAATACGATCATAAAAGCTATAGTGGTTGCCTATCCTATATTATGTATATAAACTAAATTTAATATTATTAGCTCACAATATTATTAACTTGCATTACTGTATTATATTTTTCTCCTTATCAATGGGTATATTAGGTAATCCATTTATGTACACTCATTATCTCGGAAAGTATTAACTTTTTCCGGAATTTTTTTTCTAGAATATTTAAGAAACAAGCTGCTCTACAATTTTATATTTATGTTATTTTTTGTCACCCTTATTTTCGGGAGTAAAACCACTGCCTACTTTTAATTTTCAAATAGCAACATAAAAAGCCCGTAAGCTTATGGAGTAATAATTAAAACAAATTTTAGTGTCGACATTTTTGATTTCCGTCGATCCGTTGACGAATTATTCCACTTTTAAGTTTGGGTTGGAGGAGAGTTTGTTGCCTTTTTAATTTACTTTCTAATGGTATCATCTTTAAAACTTTTGAGCTTTTAAGGAATTTTAATTTTTGGGAATTTTTTTATTGTAATTCGGTTGTAAATACACATAAAGACTTGAAATTTGATAATAACACTTATATTAGGCTTACCTGGACGACGTGGTGAAATTTCCATAATCATCGACTATTATAAGCGTTTTGAAATCAAATTTAAAAGACAATCGCAAAATGTATGTATAACTGAACTGCGCTCGGAATCTTCTTTCGTCAAACAATGGTTTATCGTTGCTTACAGATATAAATGAATTAACCTTATGTATCCTGCCTTCCCAACTTCTCGCCTACAACAGTGGCCGTTCCCATCCCCAGTATCAGCCCTTTTTATTATTTTGCAACTTGTATATAGCGCTTCAGCGATACAAATATTGACAATATTATTCAGCAGTAAAATAATAAAATAAAATAAATAATAATATAATAAAAGTACAACAAACATATTTTACAATATTATTATTATTATTATTATTATATGCTTGTCTTACCGTGGTTATCCGGTTTACTTTAGCGTATAATATTTTATCCCCGAAAAATTAGTTTTCCTTCGTAAAACCCGACGGATAAGTAATAATTATTTTATCATTCAATAAAACCGCGCGTTCGCGAAAATATTCAAACATTCCGTTATAAAATAATTGACCGATTTCAACGAGTAATCTAATATGTATATTATATATTAATTTTTAATCCGATATTTTAGTGATTGATATTGATTACTTATTGCAATCTGGTTGAATCTCCGCTCAACCTGCTATAAACCCGTGATCTCTGCTCTCGGTTGGTTCATTGATCGTTGGACGAAGTCCATTCGAATTATCAAAAATATTACGCATTTTAAATTACCCGATCAGTGGCGGTTTCATTAGCGGTAAATTTACAAATGTATTGCGAACTCTAATATAATTGCCATTATTATTGTAGAGTCGTTTATTAGTTAATATAATTACAGCCGATCAATTTGAAAAGTCATTTCCGATTACTCTTACATACGATTTCCTATATCGGCCACCTGTTGATTTATATTATCATTTATCGTGTTACTCCGGCTCCCCTCCATTTGAGGCTTCCAAAAAAATAAATATTATAATAATAAAATATAATTACAAAAAATGTCATTGAAAATTAAATATTAATAATCAATGTAACACAATCGGAACAAAAGAAAAAATAAATTAATGTGAAGATAATATATCTCAATAGTTTCCACTATAAAGGGCATCAGGCATCAGGTAACGAACAAATATTTTATGTAGCTAATAAAATATCAACGTATTTAAGGCCCGGGGGAAATGTACCCCTCTCCCTCTTAAGTTGGGCTAGGCTCTCCTTTGCTGCTAGACTATATTACCTAAACGCGGCTATGTAATATTTACTTCATCATCTATAGCCGTCCTTAAAGTTAAATTGAAACGTTCGTTCGTATTTCGTATTTCGTGTATATCATGGCCGAAACCACAACTCGCGTTGGATTAATATAAACTAGATAATCAAACGCAAATTTCGTAAATTGTGATAACATAAATAATAATATAGAATCGAACGATTTTACGTAGGTACTTGAAATCATGTCCAAGCGTTCACTAATTATTTCGTATGCATCGTTTCGTTTCAGGAATTACAAGACGTCAAGCAGTTCATCAACAAAATATTCCCTTGACGGAATAAACACTATTTCAATACGAACGACAGCTATACTGCGGTAGACCGAATTATAGTGAACACATAATAACGTACATATAGAATTATTATGAACTAGATTTACGTCATTAATTGGTTTTACTTTTATTCCCCACCACCTAAATTATATTTCTAAGTAAAAACCATTATGTTATATTACCATGTTTAGTTATAACGTGTAGATATGTATTATTATTATTATTATTATTGTATTTTATTATATTAACGCGTCGCCTCTGCGTGAACTCAGACTACGGTCAAACGAGTCATAGGGTCGACGACAGTGGCAAATTTGAATTGTTGAAAAATAAACATTTTGTCTGAACTTGATTGTGTTACATAATATTTTAGCAAATAATTATTAATATTTGCCGGTATACTCATCGTTCATGACCAATAAATGAGGTCGGTCCATTATTGGCGCAATAGCCACTCAGTTGTGATTTGCACTGTTGCATAAAGTCATGTATAACAATATTAAAGATTGTAAAACCGCGACGAATTAAATGGAAATCGATTTAAATTCCACCATGCTGCCGGCTATATCGATAAATAAAATTATATTTGAAATTTATGACATTTGATGATAACCAACGGCGTCATTGCTGGAGCTCAATGGAGTTCCAACAAGATATCGGATTTTCCGTAGATTGTCTCTTAATTATATTCCATAGCGTCTTCACTGACCTACTGCACTAATGTTCCGTGATAATACAGACAACCAGGAAATTAGAATTTGTATCTTATCTCATTGTATTTGTACCCAAAGGAATTCACCAACTGCCGTTTTTTATTGTCGCGCGATCTGAAATCCTGAATATAAATGGTCGCGATTAAAAACGTTTTGTTATTAATATACGTCACACGCGTAGTTTTAACTATTGAACAACAGGAAGGAATGTACATAAACTTTCTCATTGTTGTTCGCGTTACTGATGCGTTGTTCACGCCATACAGCGACTGCGAATTTTGTGTATGGTGTACCACTGTACGATCGATTAGACGATGAAATATTTTTTGAAATACCTGCGTTATCGCGACAACGGTACAGCGCGCGAACGTTGCAGACACGCGATTGGAAATGGGAGTGTGTGTGTGTGTGTTTTTGGATTCGCGTTATGATCCAGCGCTTTTTTTTTTTATCATAATCTACTATTGATTTTATAGTGTACGTTTGTACGTTTGTGATTGCCGCGATAACACGGTTCCAGTACTTTTCCGGCGTGATGTAAGAACTGTGAGTGTTTGTCATAGTTATCGTTTACTATTATTATACGCGTTTAACATTTTAAGGCGACGAATGCGGGAAACGGTAATTTCTTTACATTTCATACAATTTACATTAGCGTTCAGTCATTCAAGGGGGACTTTAAAACCGAGTTTCTTCCCAGAAATCTTTAGCCGCCCACCGACGAAATATAATTTACCATACTTAGACATTTTTTAACCGAATCTCAAAGCAATCTCAAGGTATACAATAAACTATAGCGTTAAATACTTTGACGGGTTTGACGGGTTTCATTAAAATTTAAAAATAATTACGCCAGCCGTGCTGATGGTCGGTTCACAGGTACTGTTGACAGGTTACACAAAGAACGTTTTGAGTGCACGCGTTCGCGACAAATAACAATTGTGTATTATTTTAAGTAAGATAATTATATAAAATACACACATTGTACATATATTTCAATTGTATTTAGCATATTACGTTAAATAAAATTGTTAAACGTGTATTTTGTATAACTGTTAATTACCTACAATATGATATTTACGATAATAATATGTTGTTTGTTGCTTTCTGCTTATATAATTATTATACGTATAATATTATATTATTAGGGGGTTAGTCAACAATATTTTAAGAGGTTTACAGTAAAATCAGTAGATCCTTGATATTGAATACTCTCAAATGAGTATGCTTCTTAACAGCAAAAAAATAATAATAATTCACTTTTTTTCAACAGTCAAGTTGATATTTTTTTGCATTTTAACTTTTAACTTAACTAGATAAATTCATCTTTTGTTAGCTATCAACGTTTCACTGAAGTCATTTTTGTACATTTATTTTTACGTAAACTATTGAACTTGCTCATCCATTGGTTCAAATTGCTTCATTAACTTGCTCACTCTCGATATATATATACGTTATTATTGTTGCACGTCGTCAACATCAGTAATATTATTCATTAGGTAAGCTAAAACATTAAAGAACCCGATAAACGATATATGGACGTGATGGGTCATACGCCATTTTGTACACTTATATTACGTATTTATATTTTACTAAACTGATTTTCCACTGAATTACCACTATCTAATTAATAACTTTTTATATTTAATGTCTAATTACCTATTTGTTCGTTGAATAATTCGTATTCGTACCTATATAAGTATTGATTTTTGTATTGTTTTAATAAGGTGATATGAAAGTCATCGCATTTAGTTCTGTGTTTATACCAGAGCAATAATAATATTATTATATCTACTATTCAAAGATTATCGATTTTTTTCAATGTAATTGTTGAACTATTATTTATCGTCACGTAGCGTTGGTATAGATGGTGTAGGTCGTAGCCGTATGCACACTAAAATAATAAGAGTAACTTAAAATTGTAGTAATAATTTAAAATAATAATATTTTCTATTGTAAATCCATTATGGAAAAAATGCCTCAAATTATTAGAGTTTAAAGAGTTAACTTAATCCAAATTTACTCTTATCAAAATTGTATCATCTGCAAACATCATGCGCCACGTTACTGTCTCTCGTCTATTATTTCCGCTTATATCAGAAATTGGACAATCCGCCAAAGACTTGTTTAGAATTCTTCATATTGTATGACAAAATTTTGCACTGGCTGTAGGTCTGACGCAACCCCATTTATCACCTTTTACGACAGGTGGATATAATTCTCATCCCCTCTCACAGGAAGAATAAAGACTGTTAACATCCCAAAAAAATGAAAAATATTTTATATTAATAAATAATGATAGTGTTAAATATCATCTGTACGTTTTTATAATTATTTTATGAAATATAAAACGATAGATGCTTAGAAGTTACCAAAATTACTATTGATTAAAAATTGGTTTTTTTTAGGAACAAATTTTAATTACCAATTCCCATAGTTGAGTTTGGTAGAAAAGACGATCTTACAATTCTTATATGCTACGTCCCCTCCCATTGAAAATTTCTGGACACACCACTGATTATCAGTAGTTAAAAATGGAAAAAACTTTGTAGATGGACTATATTTACCGAAATTTTAGGGGCGTTCCCGAGAACTAACTAAACTTAACCAAAATGTCAATTTTCGAGAAACCCATCATGAATACGAGACTTCCAAAATGTTTTTCTCTCATTTATTAATAAAAAAGTGGTATACCGTAATAGGGTTTAAAAAAAACGGCACCCCACCATTAGAAAATATTATCCTATGCATATGCACGTACATTTTAATTTAAGATTAGTATAATGGTTTTTTTAATATAATATAGACGTAAATTTATACATTTATACATTTTGTATGGAATTTTTGTGTTTAATTATTGGTTCTCGGGGGTGTTTAACATGGTGGATTGGTGTGATTTTGAAGACGATTTCTGAATTTAGGTTAGTATAGCTTAACTGTTTCGATGGCTTTTGGAACGTGGAGATCTGTGTGAAGGATGTGGTTTGAGATAAATGAAGGGGCAAAGGTAGTATGCATAAATTTGGTTTCATTAATTTTGACCCGCCAAAGGGAGTACTAGTGTGATAGGTCAATGAAATGGCTTTGGAGTAAAGTTGAAACCCAATACAAATCGAGTAAAAACCGCGTAAAATTAAAATAAATAGTTCAAAAATGGATCAAATATATTTTTTAAATTTAACCGCGTCTATAAAACAAATATAAGTTTAATGGCAAAATATCGAGTCTCTACAAACAGTTTTTACTGAATCACAACAAAAAAACAAAAAGGACGGACAATATAGTTCACACGTGGGTACAGCCACTTTGTAGGTGAGAAGTTGGGAAGGTAGGATACAGACGGTAATTTAATGTATATTTGTCAATGATAAACCATTGCTAACGAAAAAACGAAGCGGAGTTCAGTTGATAGTGTTGCATTGTTAACAATAATATACAGTAAAATCTCTCTTAACGGACACCTCCAATAATAGCGGACGATTTTTCGGGAACAGGGACATTTTCATTACTTTTATATAGGAAAATCTCTAAATACCGGACACTTTTATAACAAACCAAAGTCTTAAACAAGCTAAAATAATTGTTAATTTTTATCTTAATATAATGTTTATTTACATTTTAATTAATATTTTTACATAAATTATAATAACATAATTTTCATATTTATTTTAAAATAATATAAATATACATATATCGTTAATATAAATATTACATATATAAATGTTGTACATAGTTATTGATTTCTCCGAGTTAATTTCGAGAATTTTTTTCCCCTCTAAATAGCGGACCCCTCTAAATAACGGACAAAATTACGGCGACCGAAAGTGTCCGGTATTTAGAGGTTTCACTATATATTGTTGACAACACTTATAATAGTAGACAAGTGGACCGCTATTGGTAGTAATTTATCGTTTAGTTTGTGATCGTTAATATTTACTGGTTCGTAGCTATATACCATTATTTGAAAAAAAAAAAAAAATCAAAAATTAAAACTTTGAACGTAAACAAAAAAAATAACGGTAATATAATATTTAAGAGTGGATTGCTTCTTACAATTTAAAAAAAAAGTCAATACTTTCCGAGAAAATGAGCGTCTACGTTGTGTTATAATCATTCTGCTTATAATAAACTAGATTTTTAACTTAGGATAATACGTGAAGTTTACAATCCGTCATTTATTCGAAGCCCGTGGGCCTTATCATCCGCTTTTATAAAAAAAAAAATACCTCACTCCTGTCCCAGGTGTACCTGTGGAACAATTACGGTTTTGGGTACCAATGGTGACAATGGCTAAAAAACCAAAATTACACGGTGCACCGATACTATATATTGGCGCCAGTAGAAGAGCGGCGGGCTAGCGAGGGCTGCACACCTACCCCGAGAGAATCGCAGCCGCCGCCGAATGTTCGAGGGAACATTCATTTTAATGCGAGCATATCCACCGTCCGGATATTATTAGCGGTCGCGCCGTTTTAGTATGCCGAGCATATACGTAATTATCGTTCAGAAAACCGGTTCCCGACAATGGCGATCGTGTATTGGTCATTGCTGTGTTGTTGGTCCCGGTCCGCGGCCGTTCTGTCGAGGGACGTACACGTGCGGGTTAGAGGGACCGCGGGTTCAAGAGGAATGCACAGCTGCGGCTGCCGTTGCCGCACCCAGTGAAAAGAGTGTCGGCTGTTGAACACAAACCGGCTATTGTTATTTTGTAGATGTGCCTACGACACATTCGCATTCGTTCGCCGAGTATTCACGAACACTACACGGCACATTCGAATTCACAATTTCCGTAACGGTATAGCCAAGGGGATAATATTAAGATTTCTCATCACTATTGGTTGTCTCTCATGTTTGATTTTTTAATAGAATGAAATCGTACGATTAAATAATGCGCTAACTCAATAACGCGACTATGAGATATGGTAATCAGAAAAAAGCTACGGTAAAAAAAGGCAAAACAATTTTTTGTCTACATTTTAAATAGGTACATTTGGTTTTACCGTATAAATGTAGACAATTTTTTCTTTATTATACTGTTATATCATTACAAACAATTTATGAAGTTATTCATACATAATTTAAACTAACTAATTAAGTTAAATGAATATTAACAAAATTGCGGCGAGTTTTATCATAATATATTTATAATTTAAAATAATTCCCAATCGTTTCCCATGTTTCAGTACTATGATTTCTTATACAGCTACCAAACATTTGTACACTGCAGATTTCCGTTACTGATTATGAACTATACTTTTATAGTATAAAATATTTACAATAAATATAATGTATAATATACATAGGCAATACAAATAATAATAATAATAATAATATACCACTTAAACTTGTGAGGGAGGAAAGAAAAGTTACTTTTGAAATTGAAGCTGGTTTGATTAGGTTATATCGCTTTATAAACTTTAAATATACCTATGATTTTACGGTATTCCGTGTAGCGAAGGAAATTATTTTGGTAGGCACCTAATTGCAAATTTGTTTCATTCGTCCATCGTGTTCATACTACTATAACAGTATAAACTAAAATATATATCTTTATGGTTATGTTTTTGACTTTTCATATTTTGAATTTACTAAACGTACCCGGTGGTGTATTGTGAGGTGTACGGGAGTCTACGGCGTATACTCTCTAGTTTTTTTTTATTTAGCGTATACTCGCTAAAAAACACTGTGATACGCGGGTTTATGGTAGTATAGTCCCGTGTACATACTACAATTTTCAGCAACGTAAACAAAGTATACCAAAAGTAATAGGTACGCAATTTTCAAACATCAGCAAAGATGAGAGCGATTATCAAAAATATTTTGAGAACCATTGACCAAAGTTGTTTAATACCTATAAGTACAAGAAATTATAGGAATTCGCGACGGGCCAAAATTAAGGAGTTGAATATAGGCAATTTTATGATGTCTTGTATATTCCGTGCGTGAATCACGTGCATTTGTGTGTGTAGTAAATT